TCAAACCTACACACACACACACACACACACACACACTCGGGACGCAGGCTAATAGATCAGCACACACTCAGTTAGACTTCTAACCGAACTTGACCGGCGAGAGAGCACGCACAATTGATTGCCATAACCGCACGCATACAGACATGTTTAGACCGCGCTTTCATTGCTCGTGATATGTCGATAGTTGAATAATCCGATGCCGATCAAAGTTTCAAGAAGTAAAAGGCGTTAGTTTCTGGAATGCATAATTCGAACTGGCATGCCAAAGCAATTGCGCAATCACACACACAATCGATAGGAAAATATATAACCAATAATCCACCGTAAGTTGAATCGATTTAGACGGTTTCTTAAATGCGCCTATGCTTACGCCTGCCCACGGCCGCAAGTCCCTTTGAATTGCGGTTCGTTTGCCCGATTACGCATATGAAATGCGTATAGCCTTTGAGTTGGTGCAACTATCGATTTGTGTGATGGGCCTATTGCCAACTCACAACGATAGTTGAGCCAAGTGTTAACGAATTACTTGCCGAGATGCGAAGACGTAAAAGCCGAAAGTGACAGACGGACAGGTTTCTGAACACACACACACACACTACAACACAGATGGTTTGTTGCTGCTTGCTTTCTGTGCAAGTATGCGAACCCAGCGTGCGCGAATGTGACTCTGTGTGTGTTGAAACTGCCAGCCTATAAATTGTCACCGCCGGGGATCCATTGGTTCGCTCAATTATCCTCCGGTTTCATTGGATCCGAAGAAGAAATTTTTTTCCTAATGTATTCTTCCGCACTAACAGATGAAACACAACGGACAAGTGAACCAAGGTCGGATGATCTCCAATCTCATCAATCAATTTCATTGGATCAAACGGTTATCTTTTCACGTTTCTCAAATAACAGGATCGAATCACACGGGTGAAAGAGCAAGCATTCATCGTTTATTCTAATCAAAGAAGATCAACATGACATGTGCTATAATGTTGACTGAGACCATCCATACGAGATCTTCTATCACTTTGCCAACTGTTGCACATAACACCAGGTATCTACCGCAGCAATACGGTTCAAACATATTTTATCTCCAAGTCATCTCCTGTATATATCCATTTGAATGTACTTGCCATAGCAAAGACTTTGAATGAGCAGAGACAGCTGGGGTACTGTCCAACAAGTTTCTAAAAAGTCAGATCTACCAGGTGAAAAGGTGTAAAAATACGTTGCATCGAAATCCGCTATGATAGGTTCGAAGGCCTGGGTAGAATCAAAAAGAGAACGATCGGAACAACAATGAGACAAACTAGATGCTTTCCATGGTTTATCTACCGGCCGACACAACAACTCGAGCAATAGTAAACGGAGATAAAAGCCGATTACTGAAGCTATCTCAACTGAAATGTGGAAATGTAGGGCAGAGATTACATGCACAGAAGTGATACCTCCTCTTGATCGATCAGGAGAACGATCGGTCTACGGATGGAAAGAAAGAACAAGCTCATACGCGTGAATCACAGTTACGGGGCAGAGGGGAGGTTTAAATCGCAATCGGTGGTTTTGAGAAGAAAATTCGAACGCATGCCTATAGCTTTTATGGTTTGAATCAGAATGAAAATACATTGAAACTACAATCTTTGAAGATCCCACATTTATTTTCTAAGGGATAAAATAAGCCACTGTACATAAACGTTTAATTTTAAATGATCTTTATTTGATCTATTGACCCATATCCTTGTTTATTGCTTTTGAGGAGAAGATAAAATTAACTTTGTGTGAGGTGTCATCTGTAATTGCCTCCATCTTACAACAAACAACTGTCTTATGATAAGGAGGCAGTTGATCTCGGCTAACTGTTATTCGGCATTTTACTTATCTTTCACTGCTATGCTCCGTGTTGTGATTCCGTACAATTGCAGTATTCCATAGTTCTATTCCCTTCACATACGTTTGACATAGTGTAACCCTTATTGTTCAAGTCCTCGTATACACGTCCTTGAGAGTATCCAAAATAACCGAATTTTGTCGTAACCCGATAGATATTTTGCAAAGCTGGTTGACCGTGAGCTACTGGTCATTTTCGTGCTCACATAACCATGTTCATTTTTAACAATTTGTGCAAAACTATAGGGAATGTTGAGGTTCGACAACTGCACGTTCTGTTTGTAATATAATTAGACACCCCATCAGGGAAAATCTTACAATGCTAATCATGAATATACTGTTACTCCAAATCACGAATTGAGAGACAATGTTTTCGTAAACTAGATAGAGTAGTTATCATTCACAAAGACCTCCGGACCGGTTTCATTCACTAATTTTCTATCCTGCGGATGTCGATTGAAATCGGAGATACCGTAGAGACTGGTACAGACAACGGATGGGTAAGGTAAGCTGTATGGTAGCAAACGTTACCGGTGTTTCGATTGCTTTTGATTTAACAGCAACCCAATTCACTACAAGTTTCCGAAGAAAAAGAAGAACAGCGAGATTAATCGGCCTCACCTCATCATATTTCTGGAAGAAGTTAGGCTTAGTACGCCTGCAACTAGGGAACCAGCCTGGGGGATGACTAGAACGATGTGTAGGACTGCTAGGAGTGCTAGGACTGCTAGCAAAATGGTCGACCACTTTCCTCTCGACGACCATTTCTTTGTGTGTCTCAGGAAGTCCTGTTTCGTCGTAGTACAGCAGTTGAGAACGCGCCCATGATTTGCGGAAGCTAGTTTGCAAATTGTGCACATCGATGAACAAGACGTTTTGCGCCGTAATCCATGCATTTATTTTGCATAAATGTCATTCATCCGTGTCATATTATTTCCTCAAAGACGTAATCGACGGCCCGAAATACAGATCACTAATCAACCGTAATTATACAGGTGATTTTCTAAAACAAATATTAGCGAAGCGGAATAAGCCCCTGAACTATGGTTGGTGATTCTTAATTAAAACGGATAGTGTACCGGCGCACCAGCGATGGGACAATAGTGCATATTCAGGGGTGACAGTTTGGAGGTTGCTGGGTTTGAGAAATGATGGTAGTTGAGTACGACAACTCCACGAACTTCATTTATCGGGAGTCAATTCATTTGTTAGTAATTGCATGGCTGTTGTAGTTTATATCTATATTCAGCAGCTTTGCTGTCGTCCGGTTTCATACCACGTATAACTTATTGGGGCCTTCTATGGTTCGCCACCCCAATTCCCATGGCTCAGGTTACCGATTTCCATGACGGAACAGCAGGTCTTCGTGACTGTGGGGTTCACTCCGTCTGCTGTTCATCACACAAATGTGTGTAATAAAAAAAATAATAACCGAAAATTATGTATATTTCAGATGCCAGTTTCCACTGACCACCATTACATTTAATTGCTCGGCGTACTTTCATGTTCTGCAGATACGTTCACGAACGGAAATGACTTCAACCGATGGATGCTTACTTTAAGTTTGAGAGCATTCCTCCTGTATGGTGTCCACACATACATGCACATATGCAATAACAGACCATGAGATAACGGCCCATACGCCCTGGTTGCCTACCACCAAGTAGTATGTAAATACATCCACTGCAACAGCTCATCACTGGAGGACGAGATTTTTACTATAGTTTTTCACTGATAATTAGGAATCAGCTGAGGCTTCAAATCGTTGTCAGTTTCCTAAGCAAAACTTAGCACATCGAAAATAAAGCACATTTCGGCGGGAATACAATACTTCCGGTTACTCTCATTTAGCTGCCTCGACGCATCGGGAGTCAGGCGAGAGGAAGACACAATGTTTCTTATATAGTACCGCAGAATGAACGGGTGAGTGAGAACGGTCATACTGCGGCACAAGAAAAGCTTACAAAACAATCATAGTCAACCTCGGCGGTTTCAGTCAGCTGATAGCGGTTTAGGGCTAGACAACTCCCCTCCCCTCGAATCCTTTATGCAAATTGAGCTGAAGGTTCGCACGTTGGCAGATGTAGTACACCAATGTTCTGATGTTTTCGAACAAAGCCACGCACTCTAGGTTTTGACCTTGGAAGGTCAAAGACTCCCAATGTGAAGGTTCACTGCTGGATACCCTGTAGTCAAAGTTAAATGGCACGCCCTGCTGACCAGAATCATCAAGGAAGACAGCTGCCCTTATTATTCTTCGGAAACCGCTATATTGCATTTGAAAGTTGTTTCTTCGCAGAAGAGCAATGCGAAGAGACGTGTGACGGAACTTGAGTGAACGCGAACTCAGTCGCAAATCGTTCGGTTCAACGATTTCATCAATATTCATCTTTGACGCTAGTCTCCTGGCCGGTCAAATTTCAGTTGCTTTCGGGTAGGTGCTTTCATTTTGCGATG